ACCAGGCCTTCGAGGACCAGTTCTCGGGAGGTGCCCCCGTGAACGGTGGTCCACGCGCCAAGGGCCCTTTTCGAGGCGACTCCGCTCCACAGGACAAGGCGCGCCAAAAGCACAAGGAGTCCAAGAAAGACGCTCGCCGCCAGGAGCTCGATAGCCAGCTCCAGGACACCTTCAAGGCCCTCTTCCACGGCAACTTAAAAGCCGTCACCATCCTCGAACCCTGCAAAAGCCTAGGCAGGTTTGGATCGGGCGTCGGAAAGAGGTCCCTGGCTGCCACCTTCGGCGTCAGTCTCCAAGCGGTCGACAAGGTCCTGGCGGGATCAGGGCAACTCGGTGCCACCTACGACCTCAGCAACGTAGGTGCAGACGAGCCCACCGCCGACAAGTATCAGACCGTTTGGTTCCCTGAGGACCAGCCCATCACGATGGCAGACGCGTTCCAGAAGTCGGTGGAGTTCAAGGCCCTGGGAGTCGTCAGGCACGGCAAGTCAGGCCTGCTGGGGATCCGTGTGCCGCGGGGGTCCGACGTCGCCAAGGCCGCTGCTGTCAGCATCCGCGGCTGCGAGGCTACCCTCGCCAAGACGCGCTACCGCATCACTGGCATTGCGGCACGCCACGCCACGCTGACCCAGCTCGCCAAGACTCTCACGGGCCCGTCCGTTAAATGGGACTGTGAGGTCTACCACACCGCCTGGGACCCAGCCACTGCGGCCCAGTTTGCCTTAGTGCGCGCTCATCGGCCCCCACTCACCTATACGGTGCAGGTCGCGGGGTGCCCCATCCCGTGGAGCATCACCGAGGCCCCGCTGGCTGAGGTGGCGCCGAAGCGGGACAACGTTACCATCGTCACGCCTACCACCATCACAGAGCCCGTGACGCCGCCAGCCGGTGGTGGCGGCTTTAGCCCCGCCACCGGCACACTCCTCACCAAAGCGGCCCAGAGCCCCTACCTCCACGACCTCATGACTGCCACGCCCAAAGGCAAGGGCGTCGCACCGCTCCTGACCCCCAAGGAGGAGCCTTCAACCAAGCGCCACCGCTCCTCCAGCGGGAAACGTGACGCCACGCCGCACGCAAGGCCACCCTGCGCCCCAGGCCGCAGCTCCTCTGCGCCCCCGCACGGCACGGACGGAGCCGCTGAACCGACGGCCGCCCCAGGACCAGGTGGCCACGACCCCTGGCTTGGCACGGCGGCGGCAGAAGGTGGGGGCCACACCGAAGGCGACGCTGCCACAGCCGCCGAAGTACCAGGTGACGTCGTCGACGTCGAGATCCTCTCATCAGGCGATGAATACAGCGTGGCCTCCCACGAACTCAACACCTTCGGCGAGCGCTTCGCATCGGCCTCTAAACCGCCCGATGCTGCCACGACCCGCATCCAGCACATGGAACAGCAGCACGAGATGCTAGCCAACACGGTGGATAACATGCAGGTGCAGCTTGCGGGCGTTCTCTCCTCCCAGGCCACACTCACGGAGCACGTTTCAGGGCTGGAACGGGGGCTTGCCACCGTCGTCACCCAGCAACAGACGGCAACCGCCGACGCCGCTGCACTGCGCGGCGACATCCAGACCCTCCTCGGGCACCTCACGGGAGGCACCATCCACCTGCCACAAGCGGCCACTCTGGAAACTAAGAAGGAGGAAGCCGCAGCGGCCGCCGAGCCCGCGGCAGCCTGCAGTTTGACCGACCAGCCAGGCCAGGCCACCCCAGGGACGGGGCCCCCAGGGGCCGACAAAGGCAAGGACAAGGGTCGGGCCACCCAGGAACCCTATTGAAGGTGCCTCAGAGAGCCCGCCTCGGCCCTCCGAGGAAGCGCCTTCAGAGGCATCGCTCCCCTCTTCGCGTCGTATCTCTTTCTTGTTACCTCATGTCTGTTTTGGCAGCAGCACGCGCAAGCTATCTGGTGTAGGGACACCCGTAGTCTTGCAGGGGGCGTGATTGTAGCAATGTACATGAGCATTCAGGGGTATTTGAGGACGTGTGCTGCCGCGCAGCTTTCGGCTCATCGCTCGCGCCGCCCGCCAGGCCTCGCCATCATGCGGCGCCTTGCCTGCGGCCTGGCCCTCCCCTCGCTGGCTGGAGCACACCCGTCTTCAGGCGGTGCGCCCCAGCACGGAGGAGAGGCTTTCCTGCGACATGCGGAGCGTGGGGCGCTCTTCTACCTTTACGATGACAGCATCTACAACTACGATCACAGCGCCATTTTGGACCCGATCGTGAACAGCACCGCCGCCGCTGGTCCGTGCGGCACCGGGCCGCTGGGCGCCCCCGCGAGCGCCTGGCCTGAGCAGCACCAGGGGCCCCGCCCCACGCGCTGCCCCCATGGGACTTCGACGGCTACTACGACGTCTACGACGAGTACCAGCATGTCTCCTACGAGCACGCCCTCGTCAACTACGACACATGCATCGCAGTCGACCACCGATGTTGCCGCAGCTGAGATGACTCCTGCGTCCTACGGCCACGCCTCGCACCGCATACAAGTTCAGCTACGAGGGCTACCATCACTCAACATGACGCTTGCGGTCGACTGTCGTACAGCATATCCTCGATGGTACCCTGTCCTCAGCTTGTCCTCGACCGTCGTGCACCATATCCTCGACAGGGCCGCTGGCAAGGCCCAGGCACGCAGTGGCGGCTTCAGCCCCGCTGTCGTGCCCCGCTTCAGCCCCACGAGTCCCACTACCCCTCTGTGCGCCAAGGGTGAACCCGAGGGGGACCCCGCTTTCTGGCACCTGATGAACATCCGAGCACGGCTCATACCGTGCGCCGCGGCGTGGGCACCAGGTGAGGACCATCAGGACGCGTGCTGGGCATGGCTCGAGGACTGCGTCCCGCACGTCCTGGCGACGCTCCATCTGCCACAGTACGACCACTTTTTCCAGGAGGACTCCGCGGAGAAAAACGACGCCCTGCGCCACCGCACCGCGTTCGACATGTGCGAGGATATCTGGCACAGAGCGGGCCCCGACAGACAGCGCACCAACCGCAACCTCACTCGTATCCAGGGCAGCCACGAGTACCCCACCCGCTACTTTGGCCTCCTTCTGGAATACCAGGGCGCTCGTGCCCAGCTCGTCGGCCCTGAGGCTTTCGCGGCACCACTGCCGCCATGCCTCTCACGGGCCCACGCCTTGCTGCCAAGAGGCCTCCCTCCGCCCGACCAAGACGCCCTGGCGTACCTCGCGGATGCGATCCTGCACCACCCGCCAGACCTGCAGCCGCTTGTCGAGGCGGAGCTCGCCGCGGCACCGATGGAACCGCCAAACCTACCACCGCCAGCTGGTCCCCTCGCCCAGAACGCCACGTGTGACCAGCCCGCGGCCGACGCCGAACCGCTTCTGCTCCAGCACACCGCCGCCAGCGACATCAGCAACATATCCCTGGACTCGTTCCACGTGTCGGACGATAGCCAGAACGACTCCATCCACGACACGGAAACCCAGGACCTCGACGGCACGACATCGCCAGGTGACACGGCCCAGCGCGACCGTGACAGCGAACCCTACACAGGGCGCCCCCTGTCGCACAGCAGTGCGCCCATCAACTCGGCCCAGGCCGACCCCAGCGCACAGCTCAGCGACGCCGAAGGCGCCACCGCCGCCGACGAGACAAGCCATTCCACTGCACTGCCA